TACAAAGTTGAAGACTTGTGTAAATACATGATACCACTACATGATTGTATTATTGGGATTGAAACATTGGATACAGACTATAGATAATATGTTACAGGTCAACATTAAATTCACCTCAAAAGTTTTTAACCTACATGTAGGTAGATTCTCAATTTCATTTGTCTCCAAGCCCTAAGCCATGAATAACAATTAGGGTTAGGAGACAAAGGAAATTGAGAATCATCTTAGGTTAAAAAAATTAACCTGAATATAATTTTGACCTGTAACATTTATATTAGCCTGCATGCAGACAATAACTAAACTCTGACTAGTTAACCAGAGTTTAATTTCGTACACGCGCAGGCTACATTTATGTAAGTATTATTGATCATTTCCTGAAAATTTAAATAATCATTCTCGTAAAAATTAGTTTATCTGTATTTTCTCAGCATCTTTGGATGAATTGTGAAAGGCTCAGAAGAGGAGTTACACTTGAGCCTTTAATTGTCTATCCAAAAGGTAAATATAAATTACCAATTTCATGCAATGGACAAGGTGTGGATGCAATGCTCAGTTTTCTTTTAGACTTACAGTATGTGTACATACATGCCCACAGAAACGTGTATTTTGTATTAGTTAATATCAACTTAGTTAATGAGTTTGCCTCCTTTTAGTGCCCAATCTATCAGCAAGCTTGTTAACCTATAAGTAACTAAAACAGGAAGTACATTTAAATATGAGACTTGCAGTTTGATGGGTTGCACTAATTATTTACACCCATAAAGTAAATCCTACTAGAGTTACATTTTTGTATAATAGTCTGTCATTTTGTATTTTCAACTGTTTCTTGCAAAACTGTCATATCATGACTGTAGCCTTACCACACATTTCTAAGAGTGGAAACCTAAAACTGGCCAGAATAATATAATGCGGCTGTAAAGCTTCAAGACAAACAAGAATCAGCAAACCAACAGCTTTAAAGTTTTATCACTACTGGTCACAGAGTACATGTAGTTATGAGTCATGTGAAAAGTAGAATTAATGTTAAACAAAAATCCAGAGGAAGTCATTATTTTGTTATATATTTTGGACCAGCTTGCAGGACTTCAAGGAGAAGGAATTTCTGTGGACTCACTGTAAGCAGACACGTATTTACTTGTATTTATTTATTTATTAACAGGGGAAGTAGTCGTCATAAGGCTTCACAATCAGTAATGAAATAATCTAAAATGTATTACAAGAAGCAAATCTTAAAAGACATCTATTTTCAAAACCAACTTAAATTCTTCAGTTTTTACTTAGGGAGTTTGAAGTCATGAGCCCTATCTCTAAGAGCCCTATACTATTTAATATGTTTTATTCATAGCTTATTCATTCATTAATTTATTAGTTTATTTTGTGCTGTCGAATACAGTTTGATAAGGCCAAGGAATAGGGGCAACAAGACAGTGTTCTAGCCTATTCAAAGATATCACACTAACCTTGTTCTAGCCTATTCAAAGATATCACACTAACCTTGTAATGATATTTTTACAACATTGTAGGTTAACACAAGAGCTGCCCCAGTAAACAATACAGTACCTACGGCCGCAAAGCGTGTTCCTGATGTGTAAGTTGAAAAATGTTTTATTAATTAAGCGTGAAAAAGGGTCCGTCGTTCAGAAAGTATTTTTTCCTGTGTCGTAGCATCTTTTATTGCTTTATGGGCCAGTCATATAACTTAGACAGTTTTGAATAGACAGAGGAGACTGATGTAAAAGAAAATGCTTTTTATCAAGCCTAGATACTGTTCTCATTTTTAGATGTTTGGAATGTTTTATTTCTGATATGATAATATAAAAACTTACAAGCAACACTGTAGCTTGGCTGTCTGTAGTCTGCTCTGCAGCTGTTCTTTGTGTTGTCACACAACGCTCCTCCCTTTGTAGGGAGGAGTGCTGCATGATGACACAAAGAACAGCTGTGAAGAAGACTGGGCAATCTGCTGAAGATGTTTATCTTTTTCTTCCTTGTCCTTGGTGTCCTTACTCTCCTTTTGCTGTTTATGTAGATTGCACAACTCAGAACACGGCGATATAAGGAGTATTTTATCCAATGGCCAGGTATTTAGTGGCGTATTAGTAAATGGTACATGTACATTCTCTAAGAGGTACATGCATTTATTTTTTTCTCTTGTTCCTACAATTTTGCATTAGCTACACTCTACTTTGATAGATTTTTAAAAGTTGGGAACACACGCACGGTAGCAACAACTGCACCACTATTGTGGCATATCTATATCTATTTCTTATTCTCTCTTTTAGTCATACCTTCAATCATTAATTGTCATCGTCGGGCTTGATCTATCAAAAGAACCAAACCAATCACAGCACTTGTAGCATTCACATCATTGTATAACTCATTATAATTATAAGGATGTTCCGGTATTGAGAATTTAGACTTTACTTTATAGTATTGTATGCTAATTTGAATGACTCAACAACTCTTTTGTTATTATCCATAGGTTTCCCATACAGACATCCAGCATCTAGACATTTTAGGTCATGGAAATGGAGGAACAGTTTACAGGTTTGTATCTTGTTGTTCCACTCAGTTATGTGAGTTTAACTCGCATACATTTAGCAAAGTGTAAAGTCTGAAAAAGAAACAGTAGCTTTAAACGTTTTGCACTTTTAACTCATGTTAATTTTTTCATCTCTTGATTTTAGGGCCTTACACGCAAGCACAAACAGAATTATTGCAGTTAAGGTACTCGGACTTTCGGACTTCGCGTAGAATGCTGTCGTTTCTAACAAATCACTGAAAAAAGTCTGACCTTCGAAGTGTTGATATTCTGCTGTTTAGCTCTATTCACCAATCAAACGACGATCGAACAGGTTGACGTTTTCTCCACGTGCAACTCTCAACCTTATCCCCAGGTTGTCAAGTTTTCTTGTCTTAGTCCCAGAGCGCGCGAGCTCGCGAGCGAGCGAGATAGACTGGGTAAAAAGGGAAAACGAGAGACCCTGCAAGGCTTCACACCCCGCTCAGGAAAGGTTGGCCACATCACCAGGGTCTAATACGCCCTTACTCTTTTTAAACAGTGATGTGGGTTCTTTACAACCAACAATAACCAGATAAGTGAAAAGTACTGTGAGACGGGACCTATGGATTTTAGAGTAGAAAGTCTAACCGTTTGCAGATGTCATAACAAAGACAGCACTTTCTTCTCAGTTATTTAAAGACCCTGAGTGTTGGTCCGGCCTGGGTATGAACCAGCGACCTCCCGCTCAGCAGACGTGCGCTCTCCCAACTAAGCTAACCAGGCGGCGGTTATTAAATTGTCATTTGTAACTCAATCTCTGGTGCTTGCTTGTAGGTTATTCCTTTAGATGTAACTCCAGATGTACAGAAGCAGATTATATCAGAACTGGAAATACTTTTTCAGGTAAACGCTTGGACTGATGCAGTACGATATAGCGATAACTGTTTGTATGTTTCTTCGTCTATTTTTGGCACCTTTTTCTTATTTTGGCTTTGTAGCACTAATCTGATTTGGCGCGTATAGATTGAGGTCTGTTCTATTCTATTCTTTTAGCAGTGTTGTTCATTAATTTTTTGGTTTCACCGTTATTTTATTCCCTCTTTTTAGTGTTCGTCACCCTTCATAATTGAATTTTACGGAGCATTTTTCGTAGAAAATAGGTTGGTATAACCTAAATTGACACTCTACTCTTACAGATTGGTTTCTGTTAACTCAATAAAGATATGCTGAATCCTCAACTGACTGATTAATAAGCATTGCATTCTTTGAGAAATTTTGAGTTTTCACAAACAACATTGCAAAAAACTTCGTTGAGCGATCGTCACGCTAAAATCAGTATCAGTTGTTAGATTTGGACCGTGACGGGAGGAAAGTAAACATGTTTTATGACTCAAGATTCTCCTATGATCATTATCTTCTTGAGGAGAGGGAAACTGTTGAAATTCTACTGAATGTTCCAAATAAATCTTTTTTTTTTTCGTAATACATTAAACTTACAGCCTCTGTTGATTTGCTTGCACTAGTATTTAACGCGTACGCATGCGAAACAAATAAATTGAGGGTTAATGTCTTGTTCTTTTTTTTCTGCAGAATATCTATTTGTACAGAATATATGGATGGTAAGAATACCCTACAATTCGTTGAATAAAATACTGAAATCGTTTGCCGTATTTGCTGCATTTTTATACATTATTATCTCTTGTTATCAACTCAGTTGAAATAACCAATTTTAGGTAAATTTGTTTTCGGCATTTTTTTTTTTCTTCGGCAATTATTTTGATTACTTCGTGTAACCTGCACTGGACATTTATTCTCCTTTTTTGAAGCTTTGTTGAGTGTGTGGACTGAGGTCTGATGTATCAAAGAAATAAGACAACAAATCGACCAAAAATGAAAATGTTGAAAGGTACTAATGCAACGTTTACCCTTTTTTGTCTGTAGGAGGTTCGCTTGACATGTACGGCTGCATACCTGAACCTGTATTAGGAAGAATTGCAGTTTCAGTAAGTAAACAACAACAATAAAAATATTTGTTTGGGTCCTTTTTATGTTATTCCACGCATGAGGCCTTTTGTAACATGAAAACAGGAAAAAAGAATGCTTTACTCTGCATCCGAACATTGTTGGCTTAATCATGCAGCCAAATCGCTCTTAGCAAACTCGTCTGTAATACGGAAAACACCTCTGTGTTATGGAAAGCTCACTTGGTTCCAAAGATATTAAGCTTTGCCCCTTCGACGTTCGTAGTAACGAGCTTTTACTGTGAGTCAATTCAAATGTAACAAAAAATCTGACATAATTAACTCTTTCACTCCTAGTGGTAGCTAGAAGAAATCCCCAAAAAATCGAGTTTCGTTTTGTCAAATGGCCTAAAATGATAACAGTATTATGCAAAAGTTCTACAGAAAAGTTGCCATTGAATGGTGACACCTCAGCATTTCGTCAACGTACTATAGTTAGAAATAAGGCGATGTCCATTTACCACAAGATTCCGGAAAATTCCAGTTTGGATGTATTAAAATGGAATACATGTTTTGGTAGTCTGCTACACAGCCGTTTTAGTGTCATCACGCAATGGGAGGAGCGTTGCGTGACGACACTAAAAACGGCTGTGTAGCAGACTAATGTTTTGGGGGCTTTTTACTGGAAAATTATTGGGAATATGGTAGTATGGTAGGACTGTTTGGAAACTTCTGCAGTTGAAACTTGTGTTGCATTCATGAGATTGGACAAGCGTTCACCAGTTCTCTATTCTGAATTGAGATGGGGAAGGAATGCAACTTGTCTCAAATGGAACACTTTCTTCACTCTATTGAGATTTCCCGTCTAAAATGTTTTAGTGCAGTTAAAAAAACGCCCATAATCTCGCCATAACCTGGTTTAGGTGGTTAAACTAAGCTATCGAAATGCCATGGGAATGTATGGGTATTTTTAGTTGCAGATAAATCTCTGAAAAAGTTGTTTTTTTTCTTTTTCGTTGCAGGTCGTCAAAGGGCTTCGATATTTGTGGGAACTGAAAATAATGCACAGAGGTAAGGATATGAATTAAGATTTGACAGTATTCATTCATATGAGTGACGTTTTCTGGATCAATGTGAATTAAGCGGTTAGACATCTGATGCGTGGACTATTTATACGTAAAATCTGGAAAAAAAGTGCCCTTTGAAAAATAAAGAGTATTAAAATTTGTTAAAACCGTTTTGTAACAAAAAACATCGAATCAAAACAAGCTATATGGATAAACGGGGGTAATTGCTGCCCCACCCAAAATTCGGAAAGTTTTCTCTGTTATCATAAGGTACTCTTTTTCTAAGATACGCTCGGTAACCCTTTCATGTATTTGGTGTGTTTCAATCATACGGATGGCCATCTTTTTTTCAGACGTGAAGCCCTCCAATATTCTCGTAAGCACTAGAGGACAAGTGAAGTTATGTGACTTTGGTGTCAGTCGACAGGTATGTTGTTAGTGGGCTTATAAGTTGCCTTCCGCCTTACTCTATATGCTATTAATCACTGTGTTACAGCGTACATGCAGAACCGAAAAAACCTGATTTATAGCTTGTCAAGTTATGTTAACGTTTTGTTTTCCCCGAGTGAGTTACTTTCTTGTCTTAGTTAATGATTTAGTTAGAAGATGACTTGCCTGGACCCTCTCATAGGGCAAGTGAGTATGAAAAGTTGCTTGTCCAGGAGGAAAATAGACCTTTAGATTCTAAGACGAGTACGACTTCGAAGATGAGATTTTCTCAATAATAAGTCGTGCGCGCGTGAACCAGCGTTATTTTGGCGGGAAAACTTGTTAGCCGTCGTCACTCTACTACGAGTTTTAGCGAGAATGTCGTAATGGCGGAAACGAGTTATCAAATGTTAGAAGTTTTATAATTTTGCGATCGAGAGGGGGCTTAACCTGACCTCCTTCAACATAGATAACAGTACTATCTTTTCTGATGAAAAAAAGTACAATGAAGCTTTCCGGAGTGTCTATCTTTTGAGAAGAAGCGAAAAAAACTTGAAGTTAAATGTCGTTCTCGTAATCGTTCTCGTCCTCAAATCTAAAGGTCTCTATTGTGTACTTTTGCTGGACGAGACTTTTTTCGAGCCCTGATATGAAGGATTTCTCGGTCTGCATTTAAATGGAAGCAAAGAGTCAGTCTTTCATCCGATTTTTTCTTAGTTACACGCAATACATGTATGACAATGTAAAGTTGGTTAACTATTTTTTGCAACTTTCTTTTTTCTTTGACGTCAGCTCGTCAATTCAATAGCAACTACTTATGTTGGAACTCATGCTTATATGGCGGTAAGTTAGTCATGGTTTCTTATCTGTTAATTTGACGTTTTTCAATGTAGCCTAAAATATGAATTTAAGCAATAGAAAGCGTTTTCCGTGTTTGCATAGCCTGATATAAACACGAGAGGGGTTGGAAGAATTCGAGACAGTTATGCAGACCCGAGACGAAGTCGAGGGTTTGCATAACTGTCGAGAATTCTTCCAACCCCTCGAGTGTTTATATCAGGATATGCAAACACAGGAAAAAAGTTTTCTATTGCTTTTATAGAATAACTTTCCCGAGAAAAAAAAAGCAAAATGCTCTTGGTAAGAGCATTGATTAAAAGAGAAATTCTTACCAGTCGCGAAGTCTTGTACACGAAGCTTGTACGCGTAATCAGTCTTTGTTCTGCAAAAAAGATGCTTTCCAAAATACGGGTTTTTCTCGCTTAAAATGTCAGCTCGAGCGAAAACAAATTGACGCAGCATGTTTCCAAAGATTTTCCAAGTTTCGACCGACGAGGAAATGGGTAAATAAAGTCAACTTGTCGAGGTTTTCAACTTAAAACCTTTTTCAAATTCGTGCTTGCGTGATAAGCGCGCGGAAAGCCAAACAAATTGGCGTCACAACCATGTTTACATACTCTCATGTAAACACGCCTCTCGGCAAATCAGAGCGCGCGTATTTTCTTAGTTATTTTATAAAGTTTAATGGTTATTGTCAAAAATATACGAAGTCTGCTTGTTTCTATGTCCTATGCAGCCCGAACGCATTCTGGGAGATGAATACAGCATTCGATCAGAGCTATGGAGCCTGGGAGTTTCTCTACTTGAGGTAAAAAAGCACCGAAACACCAGTGGTATAGGATTAAAGGGTTAACTATCTTACCCAAACCTTTTAATTCTACATTTACATTTTCTTACGTCTAATGGGATGATATAAAATGCACTGAAATCAATTAGGGGCAGTTAGTCTGGAAGACGACATCTTCTGTCGTCTTCACTAGCTGTCCCTCTGTCCCCGTGGATTTATACTTTAACTTGGTTTTTTTTCTTGTACAGTAGGAATCCGGTCGAACTCGGAACTCGAACTCCCCGCTAACTCAAATAAAGGCCCTGGTTCTTACAATTCGCTACGAATGCCATCCCATTAGCTCCTCTTTCCTCAGTGTAATCTGACTTACTCTACAGCAATTTGTTTTTGTACAACGAACAGATCACATATTTGACAGCCATTTCCCATTAATAGCATAAAAAAGCATAGCCGTTTTACAGTTTCTGAATGGAGATATTTATTTGCATTTTACTGTATGCTGAAGTGCTGTAATATCAGCAAACTATCAATTATATAAGGACATCGATAACTCGAACCTCCGCTAGCTCGAGCTGTTTTTCATTTCCCTTCAGAGTTCAAGTTACCGGGGTTCTATTGTAAATAGTACTTAATTACAAGCGTCGTCATAAAAAACCTCTTACAAAGAGTTTGATCAGTTAAACGTGACGCCAATGCACCTTTACCAGATAAGGGCATTAAAACTAAAAAGCATGCTGTTTTTACCTGGTTAACGCCTTTTTCCAATGCTAAATCAACCAAAGCTACCGATAGTTCAGTAGTTTCATGCATGGCTATTCTAAGCGTAGTGAGGAGGATTTTAAAGCAAAATTTTCTACGATGGCTCTTTCTACTCCATTGATTTAAAATCTGCTGGTTAAAATTAAGTCTTTTGTGCATTTCCTTTGCAGATGGCCTTAGGAAGATTTCCTTATCCAACAGTAAGGACAATTATTTTTTTTATTTATTCTGTCTTGTTGTAGTTGTTGTTGTTTTTCTTTTTTTTCTCTTTTCCAGTGTTAATCAATTATTTCGCAGAGGCGCGAAATCGTTTCAATGTTCTAGTTTATCATTAGCATTTAATAACATACAATCCGTCTCGAACATAATGTTGCAATGTTGATGTGACGTATAATTGTTTTACAGGAAAGTCATGGAGGCGCTGAAACCTTTCTGGTAAACTCTTTTTATTTGTATTATTTAACTATATACAGTATTTTTTCTAAATGCTTTGTTGAAAGGTAAATACGGATAAAATTAGAGGAAAGAAACAATTACGTTTCAACGTTAAACCCAAGTCTGTTACAGAATGTTGCTTTTTACTTAATATCTGTACTTTACGATTCCGTTTATCTTTCAGCCTATCGCACTTCTTCAGTGTATCGTACATGAGGTAAGTCAAATTTATTTCGCTTTGCCCTTGTTCCTTGGTACTTAAGGCTTTGATCTCTTTCTAATACAAAATGAACTAAGCTATAAAAGATAAAATAATCCTCACGGTGATTATGCAAATGACCGTTGTCGGGTTACGAAACCTCCCCCTTTAATAATCAGGGTAAGTGCAAAACTTTTCATGAGTTTTCTTTGTATTTTTTAGAATAAAGCTAGCCTAATTTGATGCGTTTGTTCGATTGATTGATTGATTGATTGATTGATTAATTGACTGATAGGTTGATTGATTGATCGATTGATTGATTGATTGACTGATTGATTGATTGATTGATTGATTGATTGATTGATTAATTGACTGATTGATTGATTGATTGATTGATTGATTGATCGATTGATTGATTGATTGATTAATTGACTGATTGATTGACTGATTGATCCATTGATTGATTGAGTGAGTGAGTGAGTGAGTGAGCAATCGATCGATGGATGGATGGATCGATGGATGGATGGATGGTTGGATGGATGGATGGATTGTTCGAATGATGGATTGGTTCACTGAGTGATTAGTTGTTTTGATTAATTGCTTGCTTGCTTGCTTGCTTGCTTGCTTGATTGATTGATTGATTGATTGATTGATTGACTTACTATCCGATTGTTAGTTATTGGTACAGTATCGATACATTACTGCACTCTTTCTTTTTAAGAACGCGCCATGTCTACCTGCGGATAAGTTCTCCCCGTCAATTGTGAATTTTGTATCTCAGTGGTGAGTATTAAGTCCTCGCCAATTTACTGGTAGCCATAAACTTCTGGGCCGTCTTACGTAAAGCCGGGTTAATATAACCCAAGGTTAAGGTGAAATTTGAATACAGATATGAAAGCTTTAAAAGCAAATTCAGTGTAATCCTCTTTGTCTACAATTTGATGATTGGATGCTCAAAAAATAATGGAGAAAATTTTCCAAGAAACCCGGGCTAGTACTAATCACCCTTCGAACAACCCTGGTAAAGCTCGTCTGCGAAACGGCGCCGAAATCCTTGTTTTGTTTCCCCACCTGTGTACCAGGATTTGAGTACGCGCCATGATTGGCCTGATAAAAAAGCCATTGTCGATTTGCCAATAACGTTGGAGGGAAATTCGAAACACGTTACCAGTAATTCGTTGAGTCCATGTCGGCGCTGCTTTTCAGACGTTACTAATCGGGGTTACATTACGTCTGCGACGCAGGCTAATTTACTGGTACATAAATGTGAAAAGACTTCCTCACCAGATTCTCGTTGTTCTTTTTTTTTAACTCAGCATGCAGAAAAGCCCATCAGCAAGGCCAACTCCTGAGGCGGTTATGGTAGGCTCAGTTTGACCTTTTGTTTACCAATTGCGGTCGCAAAACCGTTGTTGTTGTTGTTGTTATTTTTTAATCTCTCTCTCTCTCTCTCTCTCTCTCTTTCTTTGTGAATGTTAGACACATCCATTCATCGCATCAAATGATGACGGAAATGTGGACATTATATCCATGTGGGTGTGTCGTCAGCTAGAACAGAGAAGATCACGTGACCAAAGCTTGGACTCGCCAACTTCAGAATCATCTTGAAAGCTTCCGCCTTCCTTCTTTTTTAAAATTTTTCTCAAATGCATCGCTGAGTTTGATGCAAGATGAAGTAGAAACCCTTAGAAATGATACTTGCTGAGGAGTTTCTATTCAAATACCAGAAGTTTTCTTATTTGAGCGATAATGCTTTCTAGAAATTTGCTTTTCATTGGGACATTTTTTATATTTACTTTTTACCTTGTGTTAAATAATTCTCCTTTGTCTAGGGAATGCGTTAAAGATTCCGATTCAAGAATTCTTCAGGTGTTTTGCTTATAAATTATTTTTTTGGTCCTTGGAATCCTTTTCCCTGTAAATAACTTCCCCCACCCCCCCCCCCCCCTTACTCCAAAAAAAAAAAAAGAAAAAGAAAATGAAGAGTAACTTGTGGACTGTCATGAAAAGGAAATGTAAAATAGCGTCAGATTCTAATGTGGATATTAAGTTAATATTAAATCGTATTTTTTGGTGGTTGATTGTTGTCAACCTTGTAATGTTGAAATATATCATAGTGTCGGATTCTAATTAACGTGGATGTTAAGTTAACATTCGTATTTTTTGGTGGCTGATTTTTGTCAACGTTGTACTAATGGCTTAAGGCGAGAAAACTACAATACAATAAACGTAATCATATAGGGCTTGTTTCGCTGCTTCGTTTCATGAAGAATTTCTTTCGTATGCTACCCTCATGTAAGCCTTCGAGGCGTCAATAAAAAGTGTGGGGGAGAAAGGGACTTTGGGCCCTTTTCTTCCCCTCCCCCTTCCCCTCAGTCTTCTGTCTCTCCCCTCCCTTTCCTGTTTCCCTTCCTCCTCTTCCCCCTTTTTGTGCCTGCGTCGTTGCCCAGTCTCTGTACGGCGTTTTCCCATACCTTCTTGATCAATGCATTTCGGAGGCCCAGGGACAAGTCAACCTGCCTGGTTGGCTACCCCTATATATATATATGTTGTCAGACCCAACCCTGTCGCTGATTTAGCAGCAGTAGGGAAACGTCAGTTGACGATGGCGCGCGCAAATCAAATAATTGGCGTTACCAATCGCTGAGCGACAAATTGGGCACCGGAAGTCGTGTTTAGTCCTTTCCGAGCGCTTTCCCATCGTCAAATGACGTTCCCGTTCTGTTGCTACATCAGCTTAATGTTTCTTATGAGACTGACCATTTAAAGTAGTAAGAAGCTCTAACGAGCCAAGGTTAAAATGTTTCAGTTTTACGCTAAACCTTTTGGACGTTTTATGGCTGTAGGGGTTACAGTAGTTTCACAGATCATTGCCCTTTTTTATGTCATCTGCGAATTTTTAAACACGCTCCAAACCCTGATCGCTGAAATTGATATTGCCTAAACCAGCGTGAGTTAGCCGAAGAAATTGTTATTTTCATTGCTGAAGCCTCAGCATTATCCGTTCCGCTGCATTTAACTCAAGAAAAAAAGACGCTGTCCCCGTGATCTAATTTGCATAAGGTATTTCCGCGCTATTTTAAAGTTTGATCGGCTTCCTCTGCCATGGCAGGCCGTTTTGCCTGAGAGAGTTGCGATGATTTTCTGAGATATTGATACTGGGCAGATGACAACAGCACTTTAAAATTTTATCGCACAGTAAGTAAATTTTCCCTTAATTTCTTTTTCTTTAAAATTAACCGGCCTTTACTACTTACTTACGGGAATATAATAAGCATTGGCCTGAAGCCATGGACACTGCAACTCTACGGACCACATTAAGAAATTCCAGGCTATCTGGTCAGTTAATAGGAACTAAATCATGTCAAAGTTATGTTTGTTTGAAACTGAAAGGAGCCTATTAAGAGCAAAGGGAAAAACTGTCGACCGTCTGTCAAGTGAGTCACCATTAAACACAAAACCTGCCAACTTAGTGGTCGGGCGCACCCGGAAAAGCTTTCAACATAGTTATTACTCGCTAAGTGACCGTTAAGGAGCACTTTTCAGTGTTTTAATGGCGATGGATGATCAGTGTCACAGTGTTCTTACTATCATTAGCAATAACTTTGTCACTGTCAACCTTGGAAAGGCTGCGACAACGGTTGTAACCACTTCAAGTTAAGAACAAGTTAAGTTAAGTTAAAAACAACAATGCTAATGTATGCCATCGATAATAACCCCGGAAGAGAGGAGGTAAATTGGATAAATTCGAGTAAAAATGAAACAGTTGACAGGCCCTTTATGATGTTTAGAATCTGTCCTTGAAAAATCACTGTTCACGTCATATACTTCGCCTTTTTGCTCTCCTTTAGATATGAAAATATTGATAAAACATGAACATGCAGTTTATTAACATACATTGAGACAATCAGACCTATGCAAATTTGTCTCCTCATTCATTTTCTAGATAAACAAGAAATCATAAAATATTCTACCCAACGTTCGCTCCGTTTATAGGCTTTATTCACCTGTGTATTCGGAGTAAGGCCGGGGTTTTATCTGCAAATTTTCTGAAAACGCTTAGCTAGTTTCCACACTTGAAAACATCCATTGAAGCTCCTGATCCCATGAAAAACTAAAAAATGCATTAAAGGCTATATACACGTATCTCTTATATTTGACAGAAGAATTGCAAGTCTGGAATTCAGCGCTTGACTTTGGTGGAACAAAATGATTTCCTTGAAGGCTTTGACCTTTTTAAAGCTCATACAGTTCTATTCTGGTAAGAATGTTGTAGCATATTGTTGTGCAAGTTCAAGTTAGTATTCTTCTGACTTCGTTCAAAGTCGATTAGAAAGCATTCTCTTTCATATTGGTGCTATGCTGGACTGAATTCATAATACGAATATAACGTGACTACTAGCATTGTCGGCTTTTGTATTTTTTGAGCATTATATTGATTTATATCTTTAATACTCTAGTTTTTAATGTTACTTTGTACATAAATTTCACAGCCTTTTAGTTATAGCCTATTAGTGCAGGACTGTGCAGTAATTATAAGGAGCCGCGGCTGTAAAACCAGAGGGGAAGGCACCTCGTAAAATTAAATCGTACTAGCCTAAAGGAGGGCCCAGAACATGTAGGGTAGTGGTATCTAGTTTTCTTTTTGGCGATCTGTTTTACCAACAACAATCAGCGCTGGTTTCTTCCGAGGATCATTTAACCCCGGGGCGTAGAAGGGGGTTGGGATACCCCCCACCCCCATAAGATTTTTCGGAGTTTTTTTCTTAGAGGATAAAACATCAGTACCTGACGTTTTCGGTAGCTGTTTGTTCATCCCTCGCGCACATTTTGAGACAAGTTTAGTGATGGTCAGTTGCTATGGTTACGAGATATGACGACATAAGTAGCAGGTGGTCAAGGCAATTTTGGGTGAAAATACATGTTTTTTCAATGTCTTGCAACAATAAAAGTAAATATTGTGGCTAAAATCATACAATGTGCTTATTTCTGTGCTATTCTTCATGTAAAGCAAAAAAAATTACAATTTCTCACAGTTTTAACCTTATTTCTTATTCTTTGCAAAATCCAAGATGGCGACCATTGTTGGTGACGTCACAGGCCTCCAGCAGTGCCACCACCATATCAAAAACTCCGGGGAGGGGTTCCATCCACCACCCCCCCCCCCCCTTGTACCACGGGGGGGGTATGATTTTTTTTTTATTTCTGAAAAACCAAAAATGATTTTTCTTTAATCAAATTCCAAAAAAAAGAATATCAAAGAAAGAGCAGAATAGTCCAAAATCCCCACAACGGCCCCCTTAGGCACGGAAGAAAGGAGCCGTTGTGGGAGGGGGCACCGCAGGGGGGGGGAGGGGTGGATTGTTGATTTTTTCTCTTTGTAAATAAAAAAAATTTCAATCTCTCATTCTTTTTCACTTTTTTTTTAGTTCTTTGAAAAACCAATTGGGGCACCTTTTTTTGGGACGGCGAAGGACGCCAACAAGCGCAGCCCCCAATCAAAAACCCCGGGGGGGGGCTCCCTGCTCACCCCCCCCCCCCCCCTTGTACCACGGTGGGGGTATGATTTTTTTTTTATTTCTGAGAAACCAAACATGATTTATCTGTAATCAAATTGCATAACAAAGAATATCAAAGAACGAGCAGTATAGTCGAACATCTCCACAACGGCCACCTTAGGGCAGGAAGAAAGTGACCGTTGTGGAGAGGTGACCGTCATGGGGAGGTAGGGGTGTCATATGACAATTTTTAGAGGGGAGAAGAAGAAGTTTATTATGCCAAGTTCATGCCTACTTTATAAAATAATGGTAATCCAGTCATAAATGGAATATAGAACAAACACACACAAAAGAAAAAACTTAAATAATGTTTTGAATCAAAATGTTTACATGACAAAACGAGTAAGGCTCTCAACATTCGCTATAAGTATTGTAGACAATTTATACCTCCTGTATCAGAATAAATCGAACACAATCAAAATAAGATCGCCGGGATTAACCACCAAGGCGCCATAAGGATCGAATTTCGCGACCATTCCTGACTTTTTGGCAGCCGCTGAAAAAACTGGCCGTTGTCGAGAGGTTATTTTGGCAGTCGGGGACGTAGTTTAGGGGCCGTTGCAGTTGTCGAGAGGTTTAAATAAGAGCCAATATATGGACTGTCCGCGGGGACAAAAAAAAGTGTGGCCGTTGTAGAGAGGTGGCTGTTAGTGGAGTACCAAAGCCGTGAAAAATTCTGGTCACACGAAATTTTAGATTACTCCTACTAAGCAAAGCAGGGGTGTATCCAGGATCTCAAGAGGAGGGTGTCCCTTTTAAAAGACAAAAGTAACTAACAGAGGAGTGTCCCCTCTGCAGGAATTACCTTAAATGAAAAGACATTTTCTGCCGAAAGGGAGTGTCAGGTAACCATCAGGGCACGCGAATCTCAGCGCACGGGAAGACTGCTGATCATGGCTAAGATAAGATAAGATAAGACAAGATAAGATAAGAACTTTATTTTAGCACGCTAAAAAGATCAGCATTGCATACAACAATTACAAGAAAAATAAGGAGTACCGAAAGCAAATTGTACAATTAAAAATCAAAAACTGTCAAAAACGTCAGTAACCGATATCTCAGTTTCCAGTTGCAGCTAAATAGCTTGTCAAAATGTGCAACTGAAAATTAAAACTGTAAAAAGTATTCGTAACCGATATCTCTATTTTTAGTTGTAGCCAAAATTAATAGGTTCGAAATTCATTTTATCAGTATCAAATTTTACAAGACAACGTTTAAATTCTTTCAAGGTTTTTGCACTTGTTTTCTCGTTCGTTAAAGTGTTCCATGCAATTGCTCCTCTAAAGCGTATTGAGTTCTTGATAAAATTTGTTTCTGGTCTTGGAAGAATGATGTTCTCATATTTCTTCCGCGGCCTGAATTCCCCTGTA